TTTGGGACTCACCTTGAAGCTCGCTCCGGAGCGGGAACTATCAAAACGCCTTGAGGCTCACGTGTGTGGCTTAGTTCTCTAATCTTACGCCCCCCACTGTGCGCCATAAACATTCCTAGCGATTAATGTTTATGGCTCGTCTAATAGCTCCAATTCAAATCATGTGTGGAATTCGTTATTATCTCTATTGACTATCAGAATTCTTTAACAAATAAATGTTTAAGTTGTATTCGTCTATTGGAGTATGAAGGTTGTAAATAACTCTAGAACAATTAAACCAAATAGCCGCCCATCCAACCAATTAAACTAAAAATAGCCGGTGGTATAATGTATGCATAATTTATATAGTATATGTGTATAATTATATATAATCAATGTATAATCTATGTATATGGCTAGAAAAAGTAAACGATAAATATGGCAGGCTATTTGTGTAAAGATCCCATAACTCAAATAACGAACAAGAGATTGCATATTTACTAAATGAGAATATCGTGAGGATGAGTATCATTTGGATATTTCTTCTGAAGATAGATAGCCAAAATTTATATCTTTACTTGCTAGATCTTAATGTATTAGTTCTATGTCTCTCAAGATCATCATACTTTTATTATTTTGCTATTTAAAAGTAATTTTATATTTACTCACGAAGGAATAATATTTTGAATTACAGTATTGATGAAATTTATTGAGTATTTACTTTTAGAAAGGTAAATTGCGTAGTTTAATAATATCTTTTAAGAAATTGTGATTTTTAATTGTGTGAAAGTTAACACTTTATATTTCATATTAACTTTAACATTATTGTATTATTTATACTTGTAAAAATATGCTAGATATTTTATTTTCTATGAGTTTCTTTACTTCTTTTTATTTTTCTTGGACTTTTAACGTTTTTTTTGTATATATTTTGTGTTATTATGCTATATTATTAATTTATAAGTTAAAATTTTAAGGATCTGTGGGGCGTATTTCAAGGTTTAAGTCTCTCCCCGAATCAAGTAAAATATCGCGCCTCACGCCTCTGCTTTTTAAATGGTTGAAACTATTAAGTTAAAAGATATCTCAAGAAGAATCTATTCATTGAACGTGCCAATTGGAATTTAACTTAGAGGAGCTGGTGAAAATGAAAAAAAATATGACCATTTTCATTCTTGAAGACGACAAAATTTGAATAGGACCGTCTAAATATGAGAAGTGCAAATGACCATATGTTCGAGAATTTCCTGTGATGGCTCGAGCTCGATCCTGCTTGGTGCACGGTTCTGATTTTGGAGTTGCGCTATTGCAGCTTGTTGAGTCTGCAACATTTCGAATATCACTCGAAGGCTGATCCCGCCTTCTTCACCGCCATATGCGTGCTGATCGGCTGGTCGAACGTCTTTGAGGATGCTACTTTCAGGATCGCTGGCCAAATTCCCATTAATGGCAAAATGGGAATTGACGTTGATTGGGTCCACGGCCGGGGCTCCATCGAGGTTGGCTGGAGGTACTCTATTTCCTAAGGCGGCTATGTTGTCGTTCTCGCCATGGAGACCAAGGCCATTGTCTGTGTGTGTGGGTGCTACTTGAGAGTTTGATATGTTGATCCTGGAATCAAAGACACTTCAAAGAACAAGCGTAACATAGTGTGTGTTACGAAAATTGTACTAGGCAATCACTAGTATTCTTAGCCCCACGGTGGGCGCCAAACTGTTTAACCTTAAAATTGGATAATAATTAAATTTATAAATGGTTTTAAGGATATATGATTTCACTTGGCACAAACTGAGAAATATGAGAATTAATGTTAGAAATTAAATGTAAAATAAAACAAACCAATACAATGAGCGGTTATGGCCCTCGAGCTAGATTGCCCTCGAACCAACTGAGTATGCTATTGAAAAGTATGAACTGAACAAAGAGTTTAAGAGAGAAAATATAACGTATTGCTTTGTTATGCGTGAATATGATGATTACAAAATAATTAGAACCCCCTTTATATAGTAGAGGAATTCTACTTATGGTACAATTCTAAATACGGAAGGAAATCCCATGATTGGCTATATAAACGGTCAGACTCGATACGTGCCGAGATTTCTGCCACGATCCTTACCCGATCACGGATATCTCGGCTTTCTGTTATTCGACTTAACAGGCTTCCTTCGATCTCGCTCGATCTCTTTCCCACTTCGGTCTCGATCACGACTGCTAGATCTTGATCGGTCATTTATTCACGAGCTAAGCAATCCATCTCCGCATCATGGTTCGATACAATGCGAGGCTGAGCCTTGGTGCCACCCCGATTTTGGTTAGCCATATAAAATTAGGGAAGCCCGATTTTGACCGTATACAATTGTTTAAAATGGGAAAGAATAATCCCCACGTAGAATCTAGCATAAGTTATACAACATTTGGTTGGTTTTTTCTCTTTTTCACATAAAACATCGCATTACTTAATACAATGTTTGGTTAACGTTTTTCTTTTCCGCATAACTAATACATATATAAGTTATGAGGGAATCTTTGTATTATTTATGTAGGTAGAAGATGGAATAACTTATACGTGTATTAGTAATACTTGTATTAAACATAAAATGACAAGAATACCCTCTATTCAAACTTGTATTTTATATATAAATTACACTTCTATATTACTAATCCCTACATAATTAATCCATGCATAACTAATCTCAACATAACTAAATCTTACGTAACTAATTTCTTGATAACTAAAACATACATTACTAATACCTACAGAGATACAACAAAATGTATTGGTACCTGTACCTGCAGCAGTTATCATGTACTATTTGACAATCCAGTCAGTGTAGAAACAAGATCCAAATGGAAAAGAGTTAATATCCTTAAACCCGCCTAAACTATATAATATTTGTCAGTTTTCTTCCCTAAACTATCGCCTGTCCCCGAAAATCCCCTGAACTATATCCCCCTTCATAACCCCCCCTCCCCCCCTTCTTACTAGTGTGTGTGATACACTCTCTAAATAATTTTTAATACCTGCCATGTGGCAATCCACGTGGATATATAATTACGTTAATCTTTAAAACATGTTTAATTAATATATGTTAATCTAATTACGTGAAAAAATAAAAAAGGAGATTTTGTTGCACAGTCCGTCATTTACTCCTCTCAAAGTATGGTCTCTTTGCTCTCATCGAAAAATTCTCTCATTGGAGATGATAGACACCTTCTCTAAGTAGCGATTCTCTTCATTAATCACGGTTTCTACCATCGATTTCTCTATCTATTGTTGATGCTATTCGAAATCGGAATTAAATCTAGGATTTTGTGATTGTTTGTTGAGATTTGTGATTTTTGTCAGTAAATAAAGATAGAGAAGAAGAAGAACAGAAAGAGAGAAGACTAGTAAGTATTCAGATATTGAATTCGTTGTCCTAACCCTCTTCTTGCCTTGTTATTAGTAATTTACAACAACAACAACCCAGTAAAATCCTACTAGTGGGGTCTGGGGAGGGTAGTGTGTACGCAGATCTTACCCCTACCCCGAAGGAGTAGAGAGGATGTTTCCGAAAGACCCTCAGCTCAAGAAAATAAAAGGACAAAAGGAGACAATATTAGTATCACCACGGAAATCATAGGAAAAATAGGAACAACATGAAATCCAGAAGAAAGATGCAAAGCAAAAGCGATAGCTAATAAACATGTCCTGCATTGAAAAGCAAAATAGTAAGACACAACATTGCCACTAGCAATCTTAGACAAAAACCCTACCAGACTAGTCTCACAAAGGTACGAAGTAAAGCAAGACTCGACTATCTCCTAACCTACGACCCTAATACTCGACCTCCACATCTTCCTATCAAGTGTCATGTCCTCGGAAATCTGAAGCCTCACCAAATCCTGCCTGATCACCTCTCCCCAATACTTTTCAGGCCGCCCTCTACATCTTCTCGTGCCCTCCATAACCAGCCGCTCACACCTCCTTACCAGAGCATCTGGGCTTCTCCTCTGAACATGCCCGAACCATCCGAGCCTCGCTTCCCGCATCTTGTCATCAATGAGAGCCATGTGCACCTTCTCCCGAATATCATCATTCCTAATCTTATCAATCCTAGTGTGCCCGCACATCCACCTCAAAATCCTCATTTCTGCTACTTTCATCTTCTGGATATGTGAGTTCTTAGCAGGCCAACACTCAGCCCCATACATCATGGCCGATCTAACCACCGCTTTATAGAACTTATTTTTGAGTATCGGTGGCACTCTCTTGTTATTAGTAATTTGTTTTGTTAAAAAAGGTTTATGCCTTTTCCTTTTTGTTAGGAATTTTGTGCTCCTTCTTTCAAATAAACTTGGGTAAGAATGAAGGATGGATAAAACGAGAAAGATAAGAAATAAACTCAATAATAACAAGAGAGAGAATTTCAAATGGATTAAAATGAAGAAATGGAGAAGAAAGATGAAAAAATGGGGAAGAAAGGCGTAATATAAAGAAAAAGAGGAGAGAATATAAGTTTTATAAAAAGGGGGCTAATTAGTTGTTAGTTGCTGTAAGATGGGCCCATTTTAATGGCTATTGTCACCCTTCATGGGCTCTTAGGCGATTTATTTCACACAATATGCCACATAAGCGATAGGGAGGTTTTATTATGAAAGGGGATATAGTTCAGGAAGTTTTCGGGGACAGGCGATAGTTTAGGTAGGAAACTGACAAATATTGTATAGCTTACGCGGGTTTGAGGGTATTAACTCAATGGAAAATGCCAGGTAAAACTATGCATAATTCTAGGTGGACACTCTTGAGACTCTTGAGTAATGTTTTAGACGCATACACTACACCATTTGAGATACTCGACAAAGCGGTAGCATAGATTTTTATATGATTAATCAATCATCTGAAAGAACCCAATTTTACCTGAAGAAACACCACCATTCACTATAGAGTTGATTTCCAGAAAAAAGAAAGGAGGCTTTCATTACAAGAGCTTATTAACTAGTAGTAAGAATATCTCTAACCAGAAATATTGCTAACAAAATCAATGAAAGTTATCATATTTAAGAACTAAATTATAACCTTTCTCGCCAGTTTCACTTCAATCCGAAACAAGAGCCCATGAAACTGCTAAACATTACATTGATATCTTCATATCATTTTCGAGTGCTAGAAGAAACAGAAGACAAATCCTTGTCTTCTGAAACAAAAGAAAAACAAATTAATCAAGGTCCATCACCATGCTTTTCTGTCTAGCATTATTTTAGGACTGAGTGCTAGAGCTGAGCAAGAATGAACACAAGCTCTAAACTATGTTTAATCTGTACAACAATATGATTTTGGGTTTCAAGTCTAGCTTTGAGAGAAACAACAAGGACCAAATCAAAGATCATTTGCTACCAAACGGCAAGGTTTGGTTCTACAAAGGGCTTCAACTCCCGAAGCTTATTACAAATTTTACAATAGCTTGGTCCAGGATCCCATGAATGGGAAAACAGCAATAACCAGTCTCAATAGCAATGGAGTTTCTCTCCTCCCGATTCTCTTACTCAATTTACCATCAGTCCCCTGTGTTGGTTCAGCCAGTCTTCGATTAGGGGGCTTTTTCGACTGTCCTTCCATCACATGATTGTCTAGTTCATCCCAACCACCAAAATTTACAGTGCTTTCTGACTTTTTTCTATCTGATGCACCATTTGAGGCAGCCCAGGATTGATAGTCTCCAACTCCCTTGCCATTTCGAGTATTTTGTCCTTTTCCCGTTCTTATTCCAGGGTTGCTCGCTGCTCTAGCATAGGTTCTTTTCTTTTTCTTGGACTTGGATCGTGGGCCGTCATTGGACCATCCCCAGATGGCATCCATTACTAATGAAAGAGCAGACTGCGCCAAAGGAAGTGCTAATGCCATGATAATAGTATTTGTGCCTGTTCCAAGTACCGCTGACATAATAATGGCTGGAAGCATCCAACCAAAGGCTCTGAGCACCTGCACCAGACCCATAAGACATTTTTTACTTAAACAGTCTTCAGAGAAAGAGGTTTATAAGCCTTAATGAACCGAATGTCATCACCAGTCCTAATAAAACTTAAAAATACGAACCAACAGGTGGAAAAACACTCAAAATTGTTCTTTCACATATTTAAAGGATCTCTGACATCTAATGAACATAAAAGGTTGAAATATTGTAGTTATAAGATGATCCCTGGCAATTTTTCTCCCCGTGATCCAAGCTAATCAAGTCTAATACTTAACATCTAGATAGAAAAAAGCCAATTTTTATGATCTCAGCTTCATCATCATTTTCTTTTTGGATAAGATATGATAGAAAAGAGTTCTCAGTTTCTAAAAAAATGCTTATCTAGAAAGAACTGAAAGTATGTGCAAACAAGTACAGGGCTGCATCAGAGTTCGAGGACAACTTGGAAGCATAGGGAGCAATTACACGTCTAAACTAGATGGAATTGGCTTAGTATGGCAAATTTGCAACTCAGCTTGTCCGTACAATTACAGAAAGGAGCACAACACAAATGACAAACGCGTGTAACAATTTAAAGTTATGTAGACACCTTTTTATAGAATTGTTCCACATGGGTGATTAGGCTTTGAAAGTAGTTTATACAAGTCTTGGACTACTCCACCCGTTGCCTTGAGGTTTTGGGTTGGATGCTCATATCTTTCACAGGGTAGGCAGAGCCAACCTATGGTAAGCCGACTCTCACGCTCATAAGTTCGCATAAATGTTCACATGTAAACCACAAAAACGGGTTACACATATAGGAGGATGCTAACTCATATGGTTGTTCCACATGGGTTGTTTAATAGCTTCTAAATTGCATTAAGGTCAGATGCTCAGATACACCTAAACTGGAACAGCTTTAATACCAAGCAAGAAAGATCATGAACAGTTTAGTTTAATATATTTTTATCATTTTGTATGCCACTGGTGAGGAATTGAAACAACGAAAACTGTAAGTGTTTGAGCAAACAGCTGAGTAGACTCCTACATTTTCACAAATTTGTCAAATACTTCTCCAGAAACAAAGAAGTGTCATCTTGGCCATAAATGTCAAACTGGAACTCAGATACATCTTCTAAAATCAGGAAGTCTTTACTTTACATCATGTCAACATGACTTCAATTTACATACGAATGTATATAAAATGTACTGGGAAAGCCATAGTCCATGTTAACTTGCTCTTGAAATGTTCTGGTCTTCATCTGGCTTCATCAAAAAGTATTCTGGTCTTCATCTGGTTGATGAATCTGACAGTTCTCAGTTTTCTTAACCTACCATTTACTATGATCTCTACTGAAGTGGCCTCAATTATTTTTGACAAGTGAAGTTGCCTCCATTTTTGAAATGTTAAAAGCACCAAGTGCACTCCTCTCAGTTGTGCAGGAGTCCTGAGGGATGTAGGAGAAAGCATGATCAGAGCTTTCGCTGGTAATACCAACGGAATATCCTACTTGGTCAGAGAAACTGACTCACTTCTCCTCTCAGAATAATTCAGAAAGAGTGCCCCGAAGGAAATGGTCTAGAAGTCGAAGAGGTAGAGTAATAACCTTCAGAACTAAGGTTCAAATCCCAAGAAGCAACACCAGGTGATATTTTTTTATAAAGCAATAAAATTTATTAAAATAAGGGCAAAAACATGCTCGTATACTGATATAAGTGGAAAAGTTGACTCTTCCCTACTCAGAAGCTTCTCATAATAGGAATTAACAGGTGATTTAAGTAGATTTTGCTATATCCATAGAAACCTATCCACTATTGTAACAACTCGACCTCTCATTTTTCATATTTGTGCTCTAATTTGAGTTTTGAATGTGTTTATATGTTGATCTAACTGTTTATGACTTGTTGGTGTGGTTTGGGTTGAGATCCAAGGGGTTCGGGCATGTTTGGAACATTTGGAAGGCTGAGCACTAGTGCAAGCACTATTTTTTGGTTTCTGGTGCATCATCCCGATCACAAGTTGGGAGCCGCGATCGCGAGAGAAAGGTTGGTGAGGAGGCAGTTGACCGGCCGCGATCGAGGAAGGGTTGAACGCAATACCAGACCTTGTGGAATCATGGAACCCCGTGATCGCGAGATTGGGCATGGAGATCGCACATTGAGTTTGCCGACCGCCCGACCCAGACCACGATTCTAGAAGTTTGGTCCGTAGTGGCGATAGGTCCCAACCCATCAATTTCCACAATATCATAAACAAATTTTGAGACCTTAGTTTTCACATTTGGGGACTAGAAACTCAGTAGTTTGAGGCGATGGAGGAATCATCTTAAACTACTAAGGTAATAATCCTGATTACTTCTATGGATTATTTACATGAATCTACATTGATTTTTACACCAAATAATGCGAGGATTGAGCTAGAAAAGTATAGAACGTATCCCTCGGGCCCCAAATTGGAACTACTATTTATTGGGCTCTGATTGAAAAACTAAATATATATTTGAAGTTGTTAGATTATGGGCAATCTGATCAAGTCTGGGGATGTGACCTATTGACCAAGTGTTGACCTTTGATTTTGATTTGACAGATACTTAAATTTTAGAGATGACTCTTATAGGGGTAATTCACCCTATTATCGCATATTTTGCATAGATTGGAGGCGTTTGATTGGAAGCATGAATCAGCAGAGAAGCTGCACACTTGCTTGGATACGAGACAAGTGGAGATCTGAAACCCTGATTGTTTGTTTTCCTAAAAGCATGATTTCTAATGTTGTATAACTGCTTTAGAAATGTGTTTTGACTGCCTGATATATGTGGAGGTGAGAGTGTGCTTGACGATACCCGTTTTGAGATAAATGCATATGCTTTCATATGGTAAAAAATTATACCCGATATGCTTTGCTACTATTACAAATAGCATCACTATGATATTACGATTAATACACAAAGCATGAGCATGCTAGTATGCACTACATGATGCATCATACAACTAAGAAGATAGTCTGAGGTTGCACCTGGGCTTGTGATGGTGAGAAGAGGTATGACGTTGGTACTAAGACTTTCACACACTGTGGCTGACATGACGTATGCAGATATTTGGGTAAGACGTGGCTTGTATAGACGACGACGCACCATGGAGATATTCGGGTAAAAGGAGGCTTGTTATAGATGACCACACACCATGGAGATATTCGGGTAAAACGTGACGTGTTATAGACGACCACGCACCTATTTTTCAAATCTCAAATTTGTCTTGAATAATGACCACACACCTTAGGGGTGCCAGGATAAGACTTGGGGTATTGAGACCTTCAAGTTCCATAGTACATCAGATGACGTTAGCAAGCGCTGGCTTTATGGTAAGAGATGGTGTATGGAGACCTTCATGTTGCTTGTAAGACGATGTGGTTACGACTAGCATTGATACATGCACTGGGATAGCCATTAGCACGTCGGCTTTTTCGTGCGAACAGTTACTTAAAAATACCAAACTCAAGTGATTCCCGTATCAATTACTCTAAGCATTCAGATAATTGCCTTTTACGTTCATAAAAACAGACTCCCACCAAATTCAAAATCACGCAAGTTCTCTAGACATGTGAGAAGCATTTGCAATCCTCAAAGGTTGAATAGTTGTTTATAGTGGTGCAATTGATTTTACTAATAGCTTGTTTGGATGGTTGTTACCCATTGTATTGTATTGTTATCCCAAAATAATGTTTGTGTTGATTGTTTAGTTAAATTGATTGTATTGTATTGTAAAATCCATTGTTCTGGAACAATGAAAAGTCCCATTTTTTGAAACAACCGATTTAGTGTGGTGAGATTGTTTCCTATTTTTCTTTCCAATTATGCTCTAACTTATTACTCCATAATTCTATTTTACCCTTTTACCTTCTTTTTTTTTTTTAACTCCAAATCTCCAACCTATAACCTACTTCATCTTTGTCTCTTTTTTTCCGGAACTGGTTCAGCCGCTGCCAACACGGTCAAAGATAACAAGAATAGGTTCGGCCCAGGTTCTGCCCTTTACTAATTTGCTCTTTACTTATTTTTATGCGTAATTCATAATAAATTTAATATTTAAAACAATTGAGGGTCTTTTAATAAATTTATACGGTCAAACCAAACATCAAAAATATTATTTACCAACAGCAAACAATACAATATATCCATACGTTGTACTCATAAAACGATACGGTAAGATACAATCCAATACAATTATAAAACAATGGGTAACAATGATCCAAGCAGAGTGTAAGTTTGCACACATTTCAAATTTCGATTAACATAAATACTTAACAACAGGTGGAGAAAAGAAAACTTAACAAACGCTTTTGCTTTACAAAAGGATAAAGTTACCTTCGTCAGCCAGGCAAAGCCAATGGAATCCTCCATAACACCAAAGCTACCAAATCCAGCGTCTTCATCTACATAGTCATCTCCCCAAAGCGAAGAATCATCGGACCACCAAATTCGCTGCTTCACGGCGCTTCCGAAACCAAAATCATCTTCCTTAAAGTTAGCCCTAAGCTCGTCATCGAATATAAACCGCTGATACTCTTTTTGGCGCCTGTTATTACTCTCCCACCGACCGCCGCCGGCACCACGGCCGCCGGAGCTGGTGGAGAAACAGTGTGTGGAATTTGAAGTAGGAATAGAATTACAATTGTTCAGTGGGAATCTGTGGCCTAAAGGAGAGGATAAGGGATTAAGAAGAACATCACTCCCCATTGGAGGGTCATCATGCTATTGTTTAAAGATAATGCTTAATGCTTATAAAAATAGTATCCAGTCACATCATATTTAATGCTATTTAAGTTAGACCACAGCCACAATTTGAAGTTTTTGTATTCATAGTTATTTTAAGTTAATTAATAGGCTCTAAATTAATAATTTGCATATATTTAATAGATTTTTTAAAAATAAATATAAGATTTCTTCTCCCGACTATATTCAAATTTAAAAATCAGATCAATCATACATCATAATTAGGCATAAATTAAAGTATCTGAAATATTTACACACTTTCGATATCTAAATCAAACCAATGGAAGTAAGACTTTTATTCTTTAAAAGTCTTCTATTACGTTTTCTATTGAACTCAAAAAAGAAATATTAGGCTAAATTAATAACCATGTTACAAAACTTAGCTCAAATTAATAATATAAAACAAAAAGATAGACAACAATGTAGAGAGAAAGAGAGAAGAGAATCTATTTCTTCCATGTATTCAAGTGTATGCAATGTGATGCCAAAATCCTCTATTTATATGATTACATAGAGGCATACAAAAGAATGCCATAAACATGACATTAAACATTTGAGATCATGGAGGAAGATCATGGGGAGGTTATGGAGGTGTGGGAATTACAACTATAATGGTGAGAAGTAGTGGGAGTTATCTACATAATGGAGAAGAGTAGTGGGAGTTACTTCTTTAGGAGTTATAGACATCCACTACAAAATAATATTTCATAACACTCCCCCTTAGATGTCTATAGATAATGTGCCTCGTTAAAACCTTACTAAGAAAAAACCCTGTGGGAAAAAATCTTAGTGAAGGAAAAAGAGTACACATATCTTGTAATACGCATTATTTGCTGCCTCATTAAAAACCTTGCCAGAAAAACCCAGTGGGATAAAATCTTAGCTAAGGAAAAAAGAGTACAGCGCGTATTTGCCTCCCCCTGATGAAAACATCACTTTATTCTTCGGAGACGACGAATTCCAAGCTTGTATAACAACTTCTCTAATATTGAGATCCGCAATATCTTGTGAAGAAGTTTGTCAAATTATCACTTGAACAAATTTGTTGAAGAACTTTGGTGAATGTGCTTTATTTTGTCTCCTTCAATAGTCCTTCTTTCAATTGATATAAGCAAACAACATTATCTTCAGTATTATTGGAATCTTCTCTTCAAAGTCAAGTCACACGTCTGTTGTGTGTTGAGCCCCTTGCTTTATCAGTTGCTTATCTTGGCATGACTTAAATAAGTATCAACAATTAACTGCCTTGTAATATGATAATATGGCACTACTCTCATATGCAAATAGAATGTTTGAAGAACGAACTTCAGAAAATGCCTGCATTTGCATAACCAACAAAATCTTGGCGATATTGTTAGAATAAACAAATCTAAATCAAGTATTCCTTTTGAAATATAATACTAATTGTATTCCAATATCTCCACATTGAAATAAAACTATATCTTGCTAGCATATTGTTATACTCATGGTTCTAGCCAGATATATTAGTGCGCCAATTGCACTAGACACAAAAATAAATCATGTACGCAATGATCGCTCTAATCTACATAAGGATCTGCCGAAGATTTATTTAATAAATTTCTTGGGAACCTTAATATGCTTCAGAACAATTTAAATCATTCAAGGATTTTCATTATATGCATATCAAATGTATTGTCAGACCCCCCCCCCCCCGACACGAGAACACTGTCCCTAACTACACGGATATTACGTAAATTTAGTTGCCACAAGTCGTCTTTATGTCTATCGACTTGATTTTTCATTTCACTTTCAGGTATGGGGACTATCCGTCCAACTTCACATTTTCTAGGTGTAAGTCAATTCTATGTCATATTTTCTATTGGTCCAATCATTTATCTGTCCAAATTCCT